TTCAGAAAGTAAAATAAATAGGAATTAGATTTTTTTTTTTTAATTCTCCTTTTTAAAATGCAAAAATGGTTGGGCGATTGGAGTAAGTCCTAAATGACTCCTGGGTTAAAAGCTTGAATGAATAAGTGTGTGATAGAGCAAAAACATCAATGGAGTATATGGAGATTATCATGAAGGCCAAAGGACACACAGACGGGAGTTAGGTCTACAACTAAATGCAGCAGAAAAACCCAATAAATTAGCTCTCACACTTGCTTCCCATTTACCCTCCACTGGGACTAAGACAGAAAATTTTCCTGGGTGTTATCTACACTGACATTCTCAAGGCATAAGGTGTTGAATTGAGCTTTCACTCTTTTCTACCATGTAAGAGAGGGGCAGACTGAGCATCAGAAATTGTCATGATATTAATTTTAATAAATAGTCCACTTTCATTAGCATTTCTTTTTAAGATTTGGCTCTTTTCCTCCTTAATCAACCTGACACTTTAAAGGAGCTCTCTCAAAACTATGTCTAAAATTATAAATTCAATTTATCACTTCAAAGATGAAATGGACTTTGAATATCTGAGAAGGAAACAGCATCAATGTGTGTGAGAATTCTAGCAACGATGAAGTAAACTAACTGCCAATTTTCATATTTTCTAGTCAGTTCATATATCTATATGTACCAAATAAAAGTAGTCACCACATATCAAATGGTTACAAATAGTAATATTTGTAAATTCTTGCAAATATACGTAACACTGTACCTTTTCTCATTTGGATGTCTGAAGAATATTACCATTCAAAATTTCATAATTCGACTCTTGGTAAATATGGAAAAGGCATATAAAAATTGTATAAGCAAACGTGAATTTATGTGCTAATGAGAGCTAACCATAGATTCGCAAGAAAGGCCATACAATTATAAACAGTGGGCATTGTAAAAATGAATGCTAATAAAATATACCTCAGGACATGTATCTTGTTTATTAATCTTATTCTTCCTACTCTCATTTATTCTATTTCAGCACTTATTTTGTTTGTTTCTTCCAAATGCCTACTTTTTTTGTATTTAATTATAAAGAAAATGATGGCAATGCAGGAGAGAAAATTTCTAAAGACTTAACTTTTCATCTTTTATTAAGATAAAAAAATATATATGATACATACAGTCATACGTATAAAGTATATTAATCTTAAGTATACAACTTAATACATTTATACTTGTGTTTATGAAATTTGTTTGTGAAATCTCCACCTAGATCCAGATATTAATCATTTATAGCACCCCAGAAGGTCTAATATCTTGCCTTCCAGTCAACATCCACCCTCCCCTCCCCATCAGGTTTTCCTATAATCGATCTTTACAACAATGGAATAATGCAAAATATACTGAGGGTGACTTCTTTAGCTTAAAATAATGTTTCTGGGATTCATCTATGTTTTGGCATATGTAAGCAATTAATTCATCTTATTACTGTGTATTTTCAATGTGTGACTAGACCACAGTTTACCCATTCTCCTGGTGATAAACATGATGAACATAAGTAGCTGTTCCATTTACACATGCATCAGTAGTATAAGATTCTATTTACTCCAAATCTTTATCTATGCTGGCTATTATCAATCCTCTTAATTTTAGCCAGTCTAGTGTATATGAAGTGATATTTTATTGTGGTCTTAATTTGCATTTCCTTGATAACTAACAACATTGATCACCTTTTCACATGGCCATTTGGGCCATTTGGATTTCCCCCTTTTCTGACGTTTCTGTTTAAGAGTTTTATTTTATTGAGTTATCTTGGTCTTCCTATATATGTGTAAGAATGCCTATGCATTCTATTTGTGAGGACTTATCAGATATCTTTCCAGATAGATAGATAATTTTATTTTCATTCTGTGGCTTACTTTTTCTTATAATTCTATCTTTTCAATAGTTGCTTTTATTTTAATGTAGCCTGATAATTTATTTTTAAAAAGGCTATTTATTTTGTTCCTGATTTAAGAAAGCTTTCTCTAAAAGATATCACAAACTTATTTGCCTATGTTTTCTTTGAGAAACTTTATTATTTTGCAATCACATTCAGGTCTATACTCCTTATCAAATTGTTTTTGTCTGTATTTAGTGCGGAAGGGATCTAGGTTAATTTTTTTCGTATGTATATAAATTTCTATGACCTATGCATTGGCAAACTATGGCTCCTGGACGAAATATGACTCACAGAGTCCCTTAAAAGAGGATATAGAAGTCAGAAATTTTGTTTTTCCTAATGGTCTAGAAGATGTAAGCTACCACGTTGAGAGAGGTTCTGTAAAAATCTGTGAGAGGGAGCCACATGGAAGGAATTTCAGGCATCCTCTAAGAGCTGATAATATCCTCAGGCAGCAAGAAAATGGGGACTTGGTCCTACAACCAGAAAAACAAAAGTCTACCAACAACCACATGAGCTTAGAAGAGGATTATGAGCCCCAGAAAGAAACACAACCCAAACAACACTTATATGGAATCTTTGTGAGATCATGAGCAGAGACTCCAGCTGGGTTCGCTGGACTTCTGACCCAGAAAAACACTGGGGTAATAAATGTATGTTGTTTCAATCTGCTAAATCTGTGATAGTTTGTTACACAATAGTACACTAAGTGCTGAATTTTATTGATGCATTTTCTGCACCAATTAAGATATTCAGGCCAGGTGCGGTGGCTCATGCCTGTAATCTCAGCACTTTGGGAGACTGATCACCTAAGGTCAGGAGTTCAAGACCAGCCTGGCCAACATAGTGATCCCTGTCTCTACTAAAAATACAAAAATTAGCCAGGCGTGGTTGCAAGTATCTGTAATCCCAGCTACGCTGGAGGCTGAGGTAGGGAGAATTATTTGACACCAGGAGGTAGAGGATACAGTGAGCCAAGATCATGCCATTATACTCCAGTCTGGGCAACAGAGTGAGACTCCATCAAAAACAAACAAACAAAAAAGATATTCATGTGTTTTTTTTTTTTTTCTCCTTGACTCTTAAATATTGATGAACTATATTGACTGATTTTAATATTTGAAACCAACCTTGCATTCTTGACATAAGTGAAATTTATGGAGTATTATCGTTTTATATATTTCTTAATTGTAATATTTTGCTTGGAATTTTATGCTCATGAGAGATATTGACCTATAATTTTTCTTTTTTGTATTGTCAAGTTCTGGTATTGGTGTCAGTGCTTCATAAAATGAGTTTGGAACTATTTCTTATTTCCTATTCTCTGAAAAACTTTGATGGAGAATTTGTTTTATTTCTTCTCTAAATGTTTGGAAAAATTCAGTGAAGCCTTTTGAGCCTGAGTTCCTCTGTGAGAGTAATTTAAATAGACTCAATTTTTTTTTCAGATTGTTCCATAACTGTTTAGTCAATTTTCATTTTGTGTGGGTTTTTGATAAGTTTTGTTTTCCAATAAATTTACCCATTTCATCGATATTTTCAATTATATTGGTATAACTTTTTAATAATATCCTCTTCTTACCTACTTACTATCTATTGAATCGGCAGCAATGTTCTCTTTTCTCACTTCTGTGGTAATTTATCTCACCTTCTTTTTCAGTCTTCCTAGACATTTAATCTTTGCAAAAAATCCACTCTTTGCTTTGTTGATTTTCATCTGTTATAATACACCTGCTTTCTTTTTCTTTCTGTTTTGTTCTTCTGTTTATTATTTCCTTCATTTTATCTTCGGTTTAAATTTTTTAGCTTATGGAATTATTCTTTTCAACCTTTTAAAAAATATGTGCATCAATTTTAACCTTTCTTCTTTCTTAATGCATGCATTTTTTATTACATTCAGTACTGCTTCAGCTAAATTACAAAATTTTCATCATGGTATAGTCTGTACAATTTCCATTTTTTTAATTTATTGAACATGCCTTATGGCCCAAAATGTGGTCAATATTGGCAAATACTTCATGTACATTTAAAGAAAATTTTTTTAATCAATATTTATGTGTAATATCCTATGAATTTCAATGACATAAAGCTGGCTGATAGTTTTTTTTTTCAATCTCTCATGCATTTTCTTATTTTTAGCTGCTATTTCTGTGAGATACTGAGATATGTTTAAATATTTGTCTACTTTTTTTCTGTGACTTTTGGTGTATGTGTTTTGCAACTGTGTTATTTCAGCTTCTGTTTGTCTAAAAAGTCTTAACTTTGTATTTATTTTGAAGAAAAAATGTCATAGTGTATAAAATTCTATGTTGTCATGTTATCTTCTACATCATCAATATTATTATTTTATTAAGCACTTTAACAATGTCATTTTGTAGACTTATAATTTCCTTTTTTATTGTTGTTGAAATGCCAGCTGTCAGTCAGTGCTGCTTTTAAAAAATAATAATAATAATGTGTCATTTTAAATAGGGTGGGTATTTTAAAATTTCTGTTTATTTTTTATCTTCAGCTGTTTGATCATAAAATGTTTAAGTATGATTTTCTTGCAATGTTCGCATTCATAAATTCAGGAACTCATATATATACGCGCGCGCACACACACACACACACACACACACACACACAGACACACACATAAATTCTCCATCTTTTCATCTAGATCTTTCTTAATTTTTTAAAATAATGGTTGTTTTAAAGCCCATACCTAAAGTATTATCTATTGCTTCTGTTGAGAGTATTTTTCCCTTTGTTGCTGGTCACATCTTTCTTCTTCACTTCTCTTATAATTTAATCCAAACAAATTCATAGCATGCCTGTTATAAACCTCATGCGCAAACCTGCCAAATGGTCCTAGGCCAAAAAAAATTTTCTCCAGATTCAGCACTCTCATTTTTAAAAAACACAATTTTGGAAAAATTCTGTTATTTTCTACTTAGTAGATTTATGGCTTGCTGCTATCTATTACATTTTACTCAACAGTGAAAGCCATCCAATATTTTTATTATAAAAATAGGTTTATGTCACAGGACTATTTGTAAATACTTTGAAACATCCATACATAATTGTGAAGAAATAAAATTTCCCTAGATTTCTCAGTGCTCTTGAATAAAGTTTTGGCTTTCCTGACCCACAAAACATTGCATATAATTAAAAGATAGGGAATGTTTCCTTTCACTTCTCCCAAAAATATTCTTTTGTAGCCACTCATCCAGTTAATGATGTGATCTGAAGGATAACAAAACTTCTCTTGTCTCCTCAAGAGGCTCAAAAAGAAAAGAGACAAGGTCCTAAATTAAGCTGTAAGTTATCAGAACAATGGAGGCATTGTCTCCTTTGGTATTTACATGTCAAAAGAGATACAGCCCATCATCTGGAGATTTATCTGCTGCTTATCTGGCCCTTGGAAAGACATGCTTATATTTCTAAAGTTTTTAGTGAGAACACAGGATCTTCTTCATCTCATAATGGAATGAAAGTTTTTTTCCCTCCTTTGGGGAAGGAGAAATCTGCTTGTCTCTCTCCAGTAAACAAATGGAGAAATTGTTCTTTGTCCCTCATTTAGGAGATGTAAACAGCTAACTTGGCTCTTATCACATCGCCGCAAGACTAAGGTGTGGAGGACACATGCTGCTATGTTACTCTGCTTGTTGATCTAGTTAAGGACTCCTTACTTCTGACCCAGGTGCTATATCTCCTATATCTATACCTACATCTATATCATCTATATCAGTGAGATAGTATCTCAGACCCTTCACAATTCTTTACAAAATAGTCTAACAGTACTTAAAGGTTCCATCTTTTAATTAAACCACTAGTATATTTTATTAAAAATTATTTTAATTACTTGACTAATTATTCCTGAATGTGGAGGCTAAAGTTATTCATTTGTTCATTCCATGAGTTTTGTTTATATTCTCACTATGTACCAATCACAGTACTTGACCCTTGAGATGCATTGGTAAATAAGTCTAATGTAATCCTGACTGATGAGGAGAACACAGTTTAGTAGAGAAAAAAGCCTCCAATAATGTGTAAAATATTATAAATTTTAGTCTGATTCTTATATTCATACTGCTTACATTCAACAATTTATCGAAACAAATTCATAGCAGAAAGAAATCCTACCCCTAGCCCCATGAAATAAAATTTTCTTTGAAGATATTTGATAAGTAGTAAGTTCCGAATTGGTAGTAAATACAACCAGTTAAAAAGGATAGTGTGCATGTATGTGTTAAATATATGAAAATGAGTGACTACCTAATCATACTTGGGGTGTGTGTGTGTGTGTACATGTACACTACCTAGAGGTAGGGATCTAAGGTGGGAATGATCAGGTTGAAGAAGAAAGAATCATAAAATGTTTTCCTCTGCACATTCATTCATATTCACTCAACAAATACCCATCAAGTGCTATATGCCAAGAACTGTTGAGAGTTAAATACATTAGTAAAAGTACTTGGTTTTGTCTCTAAATATTACATTGTTATGAGATTAAATAGCTGTTCAAATTTATTTAATAAAAATCCTATGCAGAAACACAATTGTTTGGTATTCATATAATGTATTCTAGTTTATAACTTATTTATTTTAACTGTTGGACATTAATGTTAATTGTTGGCTACTAATTGTTTTATTTTAATGAAAAAAATTAGATTTTTTAAAACTCAGTTTAAATATAAAGGAGAACCCTTCTACTTAAAAGCATAAGGCTTCCACATATCAACAACACAAATATAAGGTATGGCCACATAATTGGGTGATTGAATTTTGTGAGTGCCTCATGAAGAAATACACCAAGCATTATTCTGGTAAGTACAAGTTCTAGCATCTAGCGTTTTGTAAGCTAAAATATGCCCTCTACTGTGTACATTCAAATTTAAATTCTATGGTAAGTATTACCACCTAGACTTTATTATATTTGTATAAAAAATACATAAGAACTTAGGACAATTGACCAGCTTGTAGCAAATCGAATATTTGAGGTAATATGTTTCAATCTTCTGTAAATTGTTTCTTACCTGTTATTTTGAGACTAGACATTGGTTCTTTCTGAGTAAAGACACATGTGTTTGTTATAATTGCCAAAATAACAGAAACTTTCTATTATTTTGTGACTAGACATTGGTTCTGAGTAAAGGCACATGTGTATGTTATAATTGGCAAAAAGGAAAAAAAAAGCCTTAACCTATAGGATACATACATGTAATATACCATATATATGAGATACTAACATAACAAAAGCATAAAGTTCATTGTCATATACATATATATGAATGAATTTTAATCATTACTTTAATATAAAAGATAATAGAACAAAAAGTTGATTCTCAAGTTGGGAAAAAAACTGATTTTTTTTTTTTTTTTTACAGTTTCAAATAGGAGTTGAGGAAAACTATAAATACAATATAAATATTTATCAGTTTTATGCTGGAGAAAAAGCCGATGTTATTAACAAATATTACACAACTGAGGATGTGACTAAATAATACCAGGCAGGTAGAGGAACAGAAGATTCAAACATATTCACTTCACAACAGGGATTCAACTGGGAAAAGTTACATACCCAGAATTTTTCTTTCCGCCCTTGTGCTCCTCTCAGTGTGCCCCATCTACAATGAATAACAATAGTAAAGATTGGTATAGTTGATATGTTCGGTTTGCTTCTTGAGAGAATGCAGATTGTTCTCATTACTACGTCTTTTGTGTTTTTTCTTTGCCCCATTCTGTTTCACAATGGAACTGTCACCATTGCCCTACAAAAATGTGCTCGTATAGCTTTCTTCTTTACCATATTATTTACATGCACAGAACAGACTCATCTATATATAAATGGCTTGAAATCAAACTCATTTACCAAAGGAGAGAAAGACTAAGGCAACTTAGGGACAAAGGTTTTTAAAAGGACTTAAAAGTACTGAAACTCTACCTTAAATGGCATAAACTAAACATTTCCAAGACTACTGACATAAACCATAATGAAAACAGATAATTCTGTAGATGAGGGAGTTTATGAAAAAATATTTATGTATACATATTATTTTAAACAGTGGCTTTGTGCCTAAAGTAGAATTTTTGTAAACGCATGTATGGATGGAGATAGAAGCTTATGTTCCCACTCCTGGTCCATTTTGAATGTGGCACATAACAGCTTATAAAAGACCTAAACCTATATGATTTCATTTTTTCTCATTATTAAATCCAGTGAGGTAGGTATTATTAACCTGTTCTATTTTTATATTTACTGAGATAATGGAGACTTGTCCAATATCATACATTGGTAAGTGTTGAACCAGAACTCCAAGTCTCACATTCATCTTAATATATTATGTTGCTTTTCTTTTACAGACATATAGTCCCCACTTGCAGTGTGTTTTTACTTTCATGTAATTTGGTGAATTATGAGACTACAATTAATTCTGCCCATGTATTACCCCCATTAACATAAACCTAATGTTTAAACTTCCAACAGCAGGGCTACTTTAAGCTAAATTATGATCTGCCATTACAAAACAAACATTCCTAGGAGAAATACAAATTTCCAACATATCAGTTTGAAGAAGGTTATTTTTAATAGGGCACAGAATAGAGTGATGGCACCTCAGCACAGAGATAGTGCCTAAAGGTGACAAGCTTGTGGTAGGGCTCTTGGGACACTCAAAAATATATTTTTTTATATAGATTATATAGGGAGTTTATATATATAATCTATTTGGATCCTTTGGCATGAGAGTAAGGGAATAAAAAGTGATTCAAGGTTTGAGAAAACACTAAAGAACAATTTTGCTTTCTCCTGTTCCTGACAGAGACTAGGAGTGGTAATTGCACTGACTGCCATCTCATTTGGTTCTCTGCTGCATACAAGGGTACCCTGCTCCCAATGTTCTGGGTAGTTAAATGTGAAAGTTGAAACTGCTTGAATTTCCAAAGACATTTTGCAGTTTTTTAATTGCATTTATGTTCTTGTAACTTTTCTTTAAATAGCCATCACCATTGAAAAGATTCACCAATCACTATAAGTGCCGCAAAATATTCAAAGTCCATTACCTTCTTCAAGTAGTAGATCACATCTGAAATCTTCAAGCACTCATTTCTACTTATTTATAAAAGCTGTCATAACAATTTCAGAAAATCTTTACCCATCAAACTTCCTTTCGGCTGGTCCGGCTAACAGTTACGTTAGCTATTTGTGCAAAATACAAAATCCAAGACTAAATCAGAAGACTCTAAGGGACCATTTAACTCTAATACAGCAGGGGAGGGACCCAATATCTGAGATCCCTCAAGGTATGGTGAGAAGGTGGAGACAGTCCTGCTTAAAGCCACCATGGAGCCTCCTATAAAAGAATTCCCAATCAAGAAAGAAGTGTTCAGGCATGACAAACTAGAGTCAGTAATGAAGCCTTGAACAAAACAGACGCGTAGCAATTGAGTATAATTTGTTCTCTCTCCCTTGGGTCTGTCTGAGCTCAGCTACTACACTGGACTCAGCTGAGTTTGGAGCTGGGAAAGGGACAAGTCAAACTTCTTATTAAAACCTAAAAGAGCTATTTCATAAAAAGTTTGTATATTCTATAATACTTTAACAGTACTCAAAAAGAGGATAAAACCAAAGTGATAAAGATTTCCTGTGCTCTTTGTAAGATCTTTCAAACTTCTTGAGCTCCAGTGCATTGAGGATAGTGCATGGGAAGAAGTGGAAATAAAAAAGACATACCTGTACAAAGGAGAAGAGGCACTTTGGAATGCAGTGTATGCTTTTTATTATTTTAGTATTACTGAATAAATTAAAAGTGAAATAAACTCCCTTAGTCTGGAAACTTTTAAGAAATACAAACTATTACTTTCACTTTTGTTCAACTGCCAATATATTTTTGATCTTTCTATATATTTTGCTACGATTTTCCAAATGATAATATCAATGATGTAAAAGACAATAATTCTTGCAAATCTATCAGCTCTTTAGAGTTGCTGAAAGTTTATTTTCAATAAACATGTTTATTATATATAATTTTAAGATGCTCATTTTAAACATCTGTCATTCTAAACCCAGAGAGAAGAGCAGCATTCAGATTGTTATATGCTTTCTTAAAATAGGCAGCCAAACCAATTATCCCAGTCATTGACTAGAGGTGAGAGAGGAAAAAGAAAGTAAGGCAACTGAGTCTAATACTTTCAGAGACTAAGATGCTGGTAAAAAAAAAAAAATTAACAAAAGGTATTAACCTTTATGCAAAATTCAAATGAAAAGAAAATATCACACAAGGAAAAGCATCACCACAGAAGCTACTATACAGTTAGTTCACCTGTGTTACAGCCTCTGTGTCAAATGACAAGCAAAGTCTATTCATCACAGGATTTAACATTTGCATTGCAAACTTCAGCTGCCTCTTCTCTTCTCTATCTTCCCTAGACAGTTTCTAAGATGGTAAAAATATTTCATAGAGTTTCAATGGGATGTCGTAGAAAAAAAAATAGATCTATGGGTTGTTTCCCCAATGACATTATAGCAAATTCCTGTGGTTAATACCTTCATTCAAACTAAAATAAAGATTAACTAGTGCAAAGCAAGAAGGCTACTCATTTTATTCACTTATCGGAAGGAGTTCCTGTCTTCCTGAGGGCATTTTTTTCCTAATATATCTATGTTCCTAAATGGTGGTCCTATTCCTTTGCTCACTATTAGAGCAACAGGCTGGAAATTCTAGAAATATGTATGTATTTTCACAAATGTTCTCTTGTAAGTCAGTGGCTGTCACTGAAGACATCAGGACCTTCATTATATTTATATTTGTTCTAAATATAATTATGTATACTCTATTTCCCTTTATGTATACCTTTTCATTTTAAGATTATTTACAAACATTTGTTTAGATAGACCAGAACCTTACTTTATTGAGGTTATTTCTTATTTTTTAATTTATTTTTGAGAGAGAGACTAGCTCTGTCACCAGGCTGGAGTGTAGTAGCAAGAACTCAGCTCATAGCAACCTCCACCTCCCAGATTCAAGCGATTCTCCTGCCTCAGCCTCCCAAGTAGCTGAAATTACATGCACATGCCACTGAGCCCAGATAATTTTTGTATTTTTAGTAGAGATAGAGTTCCATCATGTTGGCCAGCCTGGTCTTGAACTCCTGACCTCAAGTGATCCTTCTGCCTTGGCCTCCCAAAATGCTGGGATTACAGGTGCGAACCACTGCAGCTGGTCTACTGAGGTTATTTCTATACCCTTGTGAGTACAGTGGGTTCACAAGCTTGAGAGATCTTAATACAGGCTTGCTTGCTTGCTTTTTTTTTTTTTTTTGCCTCAAGGAAATCTACTTAAAATGGTTCTTTTTTCTACTTCATTAAATTAAATTATTTCAATTATTTGTTAAGACCCATTAATACCTTTTCCCCTCAAAATTTAGTAGTACCTGGAAATATGCTGGTTTTGAAAAAATCTGGGCAGCTGTTAGCCCATCTACCATATTCCCTAAGGATGCCGGAGAGCTGCCTGAGCCCTTCTGTCTCCCTGCACTGAGACTTTGTTTCCATCTCTCACTCAATGCACATAATTATTTAAGCTGTTCCTTCAGGATTCATTTTATATGACCATTTTTCATGAGTTCTAGAAAACACTACTTTTTTATATAATATGAAAAGTC